TGTATTTTTGGTTTCTATGGAAGCCGCCAGAGTGGCTGGGGAAACCCAGCCAGATGGGCGGGGTACAAATAATAAATTATTATTATTATTATTATTATTATTATTATTATTATTATTATTATTATTATTCTCTCTTGTCAGGACTTCCAGTACCAGAAAAACAACAATGGTGACAAGGGGCATCCTTGTCTAGTTCCTTTTTGTATACTACATTTATCTGTTATCACTCGATTTACAATCATTTTTGCATTTTGATCTGAGTGAACAGCTTGCATTCCCCTATTAAAATTTACTCCAAATCCCATCTCTCCATCACCTCTTCATGAAGCTCCAAGAAACATTATCAAATGCTTTTCCCGCATCTCTAAACATTAATGCTGCTTTTTTCTCATTTCTCACTTCCAGGTACTCTATAATATTTAATACATTTCTAATATTATCTTTGATTTCTCTGCCTGGAAGGAATTCAGCTTGGTCATGACGAATAAATTCTTTTAGGATTTTTTTCATTCTATTTGCCAAAACAAATGCAAATAGTTTATCATCATTATTAAGTATTGAGATCAGCCTATAATTTTTAACTAACGTCACATCCAAATCTTGTTTTGGTATCAAAGTTATATAAGCCTCTTTCCATGTTTCTGGAACTTCCCCCGTTTTCAAAATCTCGTTCTTTGTGTCATATCATCCAGTATTTCTTCATTCAGTCTCCACCGAAAGGTGGACTGAATCTCTTTCTGTATTTCCATAGTTATAGAATTATGATCTGAACATTGTTCTTGGATCTATTTCAATATTTTTAATTTTGGCTCCAATTCCTAAGAGACCCAAACTGCATCCAGTCAGGCACTGCTTTCATGAACATGAGAGAAAAAAGTGAACTGTTTTTTTCGAACGGATGCTTAATTCTCCAAATATCTATCAATTTTACATTTTCTATCATTTCAAAAAAAGTTTTTGAAAAGTCTACCCTCTTTCGTGTCTTTCCTCCTAATCGTTCTTTCGCTGTGATGGGACTCTAATTGTCTCAAAATCCTGAATTTTTATTTATTTTGATTTTAATTTGGTGCATATATCCCTACCAAAATTCTTTTTTCTCCCTCAAATTTATTATTTCTACCATTAATTTTCTCCCTTTCTCATCCTTTTGAATTAATTGTGGTTCAAGTGCAGGTTTTATGTACAAAGCAATTCCACATTTTTTGGAAACATCTGATGCAACAAAATGGCTCCCCTAGTCTCTCATTACTCAAGATTTTCTCATGCTTTCTTGCAACGTGAAGTCTCCTGTAGGCAAATTATATCCAAATTCCCGTTTTTAAAACTCATGCCACACCCTGTTTCTTTTTATATTACTGTTAAGGCCACTGACATTCCAAGTTAGTAATTTAAGATTTGCCATTATCTAATTCATTTTTAAAAAGGGACGCGGGTGGCCGCTGTGGGTAAAACCTCAGTGCCTAGGGTTCCGATCGCTATGGTCGGCGGTTCGAATCCCTGTGGCGGGGTGAGCTCCCATCTTTCGGTCCCAGCTCCTGCCCACTAGCAGTTTGAAAGCACCCTTAAGTGCAAGTAGGTAAATAGGTACCACTTTATAGTGGGAAGGTAAAGGGCGTTTCCATGTGCTGCGCTGGTGCTGGCTCGCCAGAGCAGCTTTGTCACGCTGGCCACGTGACCCGGAAGTGTCTGCAGACAGCGCTGGCCCCCGGCCTCTTGAGTGAGATGGGCGCACAACCCTAGAGTCGGACACGACTGGCCCGTACGGGCAGGGGTACCTTTACCTTTACCTTTAATTCATTTTTAAAAGATTTGCTTTTTGCCCTGCTCTTTCAGTCTTTTCCAGTTCATCTCTTTGCATCTCATAAGGGGTTCTAAAGTCTCTCCCCGAGCTTTGAAACTCTGGGTCTTTGCCATGTTTCGCTAAGAATTCCTGTACCTGACTCTCTGAGATTAGTCTAAATCTCTTTCTCCTGTAGGTAAAGGAAACTCCCTCCAGGAATTCCCATTTGTAATTTATTTCTGCTCCTCTTAAAATTGCTGTCAGGTTTTGATACTTCCTTCTCTTAACTCTCAATTTAAATGGCATTTCTTTAAAAATGTCAACTTTCTGTCCTTCAACCACCAGACCATCCTCAAAACTTTTTTGCATTACTGCATCTTTAATTTTCTTTGTTGTGAAAGTCAAGAGAATGTCTGATGGCTGTTCTTTTCTCTCTTGAAGCTCGGGTTCAAACTCTGTAAACATTCTCAATGCATTCTTCCATTCCTTCCTCTGCACCCATCCAATTCCCCAATATCCCGCCCATATAACTTGCAAGGCCTTGTTCCTTCTCCTTTTCCAGCAACCCTCTTATTCAAATTTTAATTTAATTTTACAGTGGTACCTCAGGTTAAGTACTTAATTCGTTCCGGAGGTCCGTACTTAACCTGAAACTGTTCTTAACCTGAAGCACTACTTTAGCTAATGGGGCCTCCAGCTGCTGCCGTGCCACCGGAGCCCGATTTCTGTTCTCATCCTGAAGCAAAGTTCTTAACCTGAAGCACTATTTCTGGGTTAGCAGAGTCTGTAACCTGAAGCGTATGTAACCTGAGGTACCACTGTAATTGTAAAAGTAAATTCTGTTGTTCCAGTTCATTCTGTCTGTCTGCCAGGCCCCCTACCGCCCCCGCTAAAGCCAATTGATCTTCCTTTATTTCCTCTCTTAATTCCAGTTTTTTCTAGTTTTACTACCTTGACATCCAAAGCATTTACTTTTTCATCCAGTCTGTCAAATTTCTGCGACAATACTTCCTTGGTGTTCTCTATATCTGATCTTATTTCCATAAATTGTTTAATCCAGTGTTCCCCAACCTTGGGCCTCCAGCTGTTTTTGGACTACAACTCCCATCATCCCTCGCTAGCAAGACCAGTGGTCAAGGATGATGGGAATTGTAGTCCGAAAACAGCTGGAGGCCCAAGGTTGAGGAACACTGGTTTAATCATAGTCTGCTCCAACCCTTTCCTAAATTCTGCAAAATGTAAGGCCACAAGTTCAGCCATTTCTGATTTTGGAGTATTTTCTATATCTCCCTGTGCTCAGACTCTCCTTCTTTCTGACACTCTCTGTTTTACTGGCTCCTGTTTAGATTTCTCTGCCATGTCAGTTCTCAAAAACAAACTGTTCCCAAGCGCTTCTGTCTTAAGGACACTTCAGGTCTTTTCCTCACTTGTATACAAGTCTTTTCCCCTATCTTGTATACAGCAGTTCTCCCACCAATCCAATTCCCACACCCTTTTAAACCAAACTGTAACAACACTTTCAGGTTTACAGCAAATTATAAAGTTCCACAATATACAAAAAAAAAAAAAAAAAAGAAGAGGGCAAGATCACCTTTATATACAATCTACGGAAGAAAAAATAAAAAAGCAGGCCACAACAGCAGTCTAATAGTTACCACTGTTCAAACTCGCTGTTATGTTGTCTCCTTGATGATGATTTAGCACTTGCCAAACTTCTAGTTATATTATAATCCACAAAATGTCTTGTAATCTAAAACTCCACTGTGAGTCCAAAAATTTTCCAGGCGTATTTATAATGATATTTGTAACTCTTCCACATATAATGTTCAATTGTCCCCTACATAGCATAGCCAGGACTAAATTCCTGGGCCCTGCTTTACTGCGCTTGGTTGGCAGGCCTGTTGAGTCACACGCCGCACTGCTTTTGCAGGATACAGATCCTTCTGTTACTCTGCAGGTGGCGAGATTCCTGAATGCGGTTATCTCACACGCAAAAACCACCAAAAAACAACATCAAAATCTAATCGGACAGTTATGATGAGAGTGCATGTCGGATCTCGTCTTCAGTTTTCCTTTTTCTGTGAACCGTCCCTTGGAGCTCTCCGGGCCACATCATGTTATTTGGCTCTGCCCAATGACCCACCCTTGCATCGCAGTGTTCACCTTCTGTTGTCAGATATTCGGTTTTTAAGCCTTTGTGTTTTTTTATGTTTGTACATATTTTATGGGCTAATAGCCGTAAATAAATAAATAAATGAATAAAATGATATTTGTAATCCAAATGATGTTTGTAATCCAATATCTGCTGCTTCTCTCAGTTTTTATTCCAATACAGGCCCTGTTCTTTAAACAGAAATCCTCCCCCCCCCTTTCCTACTCCAGCTCTTACCAGGCACTTTCCCTCCCTGGGATTACCTCCCACTTATGGAAAAGTGTCCTTCTGCCAAGGTTTGGTAGGACTTGCCAAGATACAAGGTCCTTTTTAGAATTATTATTTTTTAAATCTTGGCAATTTTTCCAAGCCTTTCAGTACTTTCCCTCATAAAATCTGCATTCCTATTCATAAGAACTGAGAGTACTCCAATCTCTTCCTGTTATCTTCCTTTTAAGAAATCAAAGAACAAAGAGCAACAGTTTCTTCTTGTATCCAAAGTATATCGTGTTATTAAGTAGCAAAGTGCAGTTTCAAAAGTATCTGAAGACTGATGTGTCTCCAAAGTTTTTTCCCCATTTACAAGTCTGTACCGCAATTCTTTTGATTTTGAAAACTCCATTGTTGTTGACAATAACTTTTTTCCTTTGAAAGTCTGCTGCTTCAGGTGGTGATTCATGGTTTCAGGATTCTGAGCCACGCTGGAGCCACGGGCAGGCTCAAATCGCTGTCTCTCTCTCTCACACACACACCCCCCCCCACTCACTGCCAATGCAGTGGTGGAGCTCCGGCAATCGCGACAAGCCTCTTTATGCCTGGCTGGTCCCCTCGACACCCCACTGCCTTTTTTTGGGGGGTGCCTAACCCTGGCACTCTCCTCCATTGCTCTAACCCCTGCCCCCGGTAATGGTCGCCTTTTAGACGGACGACTCGCACCACGCCGCCATTTCCCTTCGCAGGCAAACCAGAAACCCCCTCATGGACTCATTGTTAAAACCGTGTTTATGGAAGACAATCTTACTCGGCTACGAGTGATCGCCAAAAGAAGAATTTTCTCTTGACTGCGCATTGAGGCTTATCATACAGTATATATTTTTCAACAGCATTTGTTCATTAGAGCTGTGATCTGAGGGGCTATACTCTCATTGCAAAGATACATCATTTACATACGTCAACAGAATACCAGCGAATGCATTTGTGTCTATGAAAAATATCAGATCAATTCACACCAGATTAAAAAATCATGGGGATGGGAGAAATATTAAAACAACGCTATAAACAAGTGATGAATACACGGGAAATAACGGATGGGAAAGAAAACAGAACATAGCTATGTAAATCTAACTCTGATCAGGAGAACAATCTGCAACACAGCCACTAAAAGGAATAAATATTCTAATGGAAGCAAATTCTAATTCTGAACACAATCATTGGTTTACTCTCTATAGGCATTATTCAATATGATTAAATATCTTCCCACACTCCAACCTTTCTGTTTCCCTTGTACGAGTTCTTTTCAGTTTAGTAAGGGAGCCCCTGTGACATAAGTTGTTTCTATAGGCCAAACATTTCTAAGATTTCCTCCCTGTATGGGTTCTTTGGTGGCTAGTAAGGATATTACTACGACTGAAGCTTTTTCCACACTCCGAACACGTATACGATTTCTCTCCTGTATGAGTTCTTTCATGCGACTTAAGGGAGCTACTGTGACTGAAGCTCCTTCCACACTCTGAACATGTATACGGTTTCTCTCCTGTATGAGTTCTTTGATGCGACTTAAGGGAGCTACTGCACCTGAAGCTCCTTCCACACTCCGAACATGTATAAGGTTTCTCTCTTGTATGAGTTCGTTGATGCAACGTAAGGGAGCTACTGCAACTGAAGCTTTTTCCACACTCCGAACATGTATACGGTTTCTCTCCTGTATGAGTTCGTTGATGCAACGTGAGTTGGCTACCGCGACAGAAGATCTTTCCACACTCCAAACATTTAAACGGTTTCTCTCCTGTGTGCAATCTTTGATGCAAGGTAAGGCTACCACTCTGGCTGAAGCTCTTTCCACACTCCAAACATGTATATCGTTTCTCCCCTGTATGAATTCTTTCATGCGAAGAAAGGTAGTCGTTGCGACTGAAGCTCTTGCCACATTCCCAACATTTATAAGGTTTGCTGCCTCGATGAGTTTGTTGATGTCTAGTAAGCCCATAGCTGTGAGCAAAGCTCATTCCACACTCCAAACACGTATGCTGTTTCTCCCCTGTATGAGTTCTTTGATGCGACTTAAGGGTGCTACTTTGAGTGAAGCTCCTTCCACACTCTGAACATGTATACGGTTTCTCCCCTGTATGAGTTCGTTGATGCAACTTAAGGGTGCCACGTTCTCTGAAGCTTTTTCCACACTCTGAACATGTATACGATTTTTCTCCTGTATGAGATCTTTGATGCGAGGTAAGGGCACCACAGTGACTGAAGCTCTTTCCACACTCTGAACATGTATACGGTTTCTCCCCTGTATGAGTTCGTAGATGCAAGCTGAGGGAACTGCTCTGACTGAAGCTCCTTCCACACTCTAAACATGTATACGGTTTTTCTCCTGCATGAGATCTTTGATGCGACTTAAGGTGGCCACTCTGACTGAAGCTCATTCCACACTCCGAACATGTATACAGTCTCTCCCCTGTATGGGAACTTTGATGCGACTTAAGGGTGCGACGTTCACTGAAGCTTTTTCCACACTCTAAACATGTATACGGTTTTTCTCCTGTATGAGATCTTTGATGCGAGGTAAGGGCACCACAGTGACTGAAGCTCTTTCCACACTCTGAACATGTATACGGTTTCTCCCCTGTATGAGTTCGTAGATGCAAGGTGAGGGAACTACTCTGATTGAAGCTCTTTCCACACTCCAAACATGTATACGGTCTCTCCCCTGTATGAGTTCTTTGATGCGACTTAAGGGTGCTACTCCTACTGAAGCTCCTTCCACACTCTAAACATGTATACGGTTTTTCTCCTGTATGAGATCTTTGATGCGACTTAAGGTGGCCACTCTGACTGAAGCTCATTCCACACTCTGAACATGTATACGGTCTCTCCCCTGTATGAGATCTATGATGCATGGTAAGGACACTACTGTGACTGAAGCTTTTTCCACACTCTGAACATGTATACGGTTTCTCCCCTGTATGAGTTCGTTGATGCACGGTAAGGGCACTACTGTGACCGAAGCTCTTTCCACACTCCAAACATTTATAAGGTTTCTCCTCTGTATGAGTTTGCTGATGCGAGGTAAGGCTGCTACTGTTACTGAAGCTCTTTCCACACTCCAAACATTCATGCTTTTTCTCCTCTCTGGGAATTTGGTTTTCATCACACTGAGACATACAAGAGTCACCCTCCGGCTTCTGCTTTCGTCTCCCCTCTCGCCTGCTGCCTCCATCTTGAACCCTCAGATCCCTTTGCTCTTTGGATCCTTTCGGTGACACTTCGGATTGTTCCCCTTCTGCCAGCATCCCTTCAACATCTCCTGATGGAATAAAAAGGCACAGTGATGAAATGCTAAAGGAGCGTCTTCACCCCAATCATTCTGTCAGGACACAGAGATCCAGGTCCCAGGGCCTTGTGGCAGTTCCCTCACTGTGAGAAGGGAAGTTACAGGGAACGAGGCAGAGGGCCTTCTTGGTAGTGGTGCCCACCCTGTGGAACGCCCTCCTGTGAGATGTCAGATAAATAACTATACAAATTTTAGAAGACATCTGAAGGCAGCCATGTAGAGGCAAGTTTTTAATGATTTATGCTTTATTGTGCTTTTATATTTGTTGGAAGCCAGCTAGAGTGGCTGGGGCAACCCAGTGAGATGTGTGGGGTACAAATAATGAAAGTATTAATATTAGTATTATTATTTGTTGAGTTTACATACCTCCCTATACCCAGAAGTCTCAACGTGGTTCTCAGAAAAGATCACAGAATAAAAACAACAATCCAATAACACCCCCTCCAAAAAAGTCACATTTGAAAAAGGATATAGGATGTCAAACATATCAACCAAAAGCCTGTTTAAAACGGAACCTTTTTGCCTGGCATTTAAAGGTGTATAATGAAGGTGCCAGGAGAACATTCCTGGGGAAATGCATTCCACAGATGGGGAGCCACTGCAGAGAAGGCCCTGTTCTCGTGTTGCCACTCTCCGGATCTCTTGAGGAGGAGGCCCACAAAGGAGGGCCTCAGAATATGATATCAGGTTCGGGTTGGTTGTTTTTTTTTTAAAAAAATATGTAGATCACCAGGAACCAAACTCAAACAGTGAAACCCGCCAAGCGGCCGATACAAAACGCATTCCAAAGGAAAATAAAGGAGAAGAAGAAAATGGAGATCTGGGAGGAAATTAGAAAAAAGGAAAGGATCCTTTTCCAAAAACCAGATGATGAACTAATTAAGCAAAATATAAAAATTTTACAGACGCAATTCTCCATGATAATAAATGAAGAGATAGAATGGAAGATAAAATGGTTGAGACATAGAAATTTTGAGTTTGCAAATAAACCTGGCAAACTTCTGGCCTGGCAATTAAAGAAGAAAAAGGAAGATAGAATTATCAATAAAATTAAAATTGAAGACAAATGGATTCAAGAACCGAAGGAAATTAGTAAAAACTTTGCTAGTTTTTTTGGAAAACTATATAAAGAAGGTCCAGAGACTATAGAAAAAATAATTGATTATTTGGGCAAAAATAAACTACCAATAACACCTAAGGAAAAAACTGAAATCTTGAACTCACCAATAACAGCTATGGAGGTGCAACAAGCTATACAGAGATCAAAATTAGGAAAGACACCGGGCCCAGATGGTCTCCCAGCTAATTACTATGAAAAGTTAGAACAAGCATTATTTCTTCCCATGAAAGATATAATGAATAATATTCTGGCAAATGGAATTGATTAAAGAATTTGGAGAAGTGGCAGGCTTTAAGCTGAATATAACAAAATCAAAAATGCTTGTTAAAAATGTAACCACAGGAGAAAAGACGACTTAGAAAAAATATTGGGCCTGAAAATCTCCTCAAAAGCAAAATACTTGGGTATTTGGATCACCCCCAAGAACATAAACTTATTTCAGGATAATTACACCGAAACTTGGTTAGAGATTAGAAAAAACTTTGTAACCTGGAGTAAACTAAAATTGACATTTCTGGGTAGAATTTCCATTATAAAGATGAATGTGCTTCGAAAATTAATCTTTTTATTGACTTCCGGGTTAGCGCCATCGGCGAATGGCGGAGTTCCTCCGACTGGAGGAACTGGCTGTGTGGAAACTGGGTCTTCCCGCTGTGGCGAAGGTGGGGACCCACTAGAAATCCCAGGTGGAGGAAGCCTGGGAACGTGGGGTTTGGCAGGGCACCAGGAGCGCCTCCCCTACTCGCGGGGAACCCCATTTTGGGGCTCTGGAGTGAAGTGGGCTGAGCAGCGCGGTGCTGCGAACTGATTGCTACTTCCACGGAGTGAAGCCGCACAGCCATCGCCGGAGAGCGCTGACTTTTTCCTGCGGACAATTGGACTCTAAACAAGTACCCGTGAGTAGAAACGGAAAATTGGATCAAGAAACATATTAATTTGACATTGAAGCGGGAAGGTTCAAAACAGGAAGTCCGCCTTCCGCTTTTTGTAAATAGACTGAAGCAAAACCTTGTAAGCTAATAGCCTGGAAAGTCGCTTATAAAGGTCGAAATTTCCTTCATTTAGAACCACTAAAACCCCCTTGGAAGCAGGAGAAAAGGGGGGGGACTTCGACTGTTTAAGCCTGCAGGAGAGGGAGTAAAGAAAGATAAGTTTCCACCGTCTCAAACCTGGGAACAGGGTGTCAGAGACAGAAATTGTTGGAGACGTTCATTGACTGTGAATGGAACATTTTGACAGATAGCTAAAAAAGAGAAACAAACTGATTCCAATGTTGCCTTTTGCATTTTAAAGAAACAAAGTATTTGAAAAACGAAAGTAATCTTCCTTTGTTGGACTTGCTTTAAAAAGATGGATACAAATAAAAATTGTCTCCTCTAGAGGGAGCTTGTTAAATTGTTGCTGCAGTCTGCTTGGGGACTCTACAGCTGTAAGATTAAGATCGTGGGATCAGTCTTTTGACCTTGGACAAAAATGTGTTGGGAGGAAGCTTTGGTGCTTGCTTTTTGCAAGACAAATGCTTTGTTGGAGCAGATGCATGAGAAGATGGATTTGATGAACGAAAAGTTGGATTTGATGACGGCTGTAGGGAATACTGACACAGAAATCATTCAGGGACCAACTCAGGAACCTGTTTTAACTGGGCAAGTACAAGTGCAGAAGATAATGGACGAGGTTGCGGTAGCACCTCAAGCAATACAAATGGAGAGATCTGAGGCCCTGCAGGAGCATAAGCCGCTGTTTTTGAAGATTGAATTTGGAGTGGGCAAGGGGAAGTCTGGAGTTGAGGAGGCTCTTAATTTCGGAGGGACTTTGAAACACGCTGTTAAATATTTTTTGGATTACGCTGATGACTGCGGGGAGTGGGACTCTGGGGAATGGACTGGTCGGATGAGGGGAGATAATTTTGGGCTGGAATCCCCCAGAGACCGACTCTTCAATGAGAAAGGAAAGAAATTAAGAAAGAGACCAACAAAAGACAAGGAAAAGTGCAAGTATAAACAAGAAGAAGAAGATCTGCAGAAGGGGCATGGAAGGGACTTAAGAGCCTCGGACATAAGATTACCAGGTTGATGGACTAGATGGAATGGACAGTAAGGACTGACATAACCCGAGACCAGGAAGAAGGGACGTTGGATGGAGATTGGAAGAAAGTCTATAAAGAAAAATTGTTACATTGGGAATTAGTGTAAATTAATGAATATTGGGGAAAATGTTGGAATGAAACTATCTGGCTTTGGTAGAAATGATATAAGGAGTTATGTATAAATAAGTATTAAGTTTTAAGCTTTAAGGTATTCTACGGTAAGATAAGGTTAAATAAATTAAGGCAAATTGAATAACAGAATATGGTGAAAGACGGAAAGGATCTGCTGAGTTAAGTAATAGGTTAGACTGTTAAGATAAATTGTTTAATAAAAATTGAGAAAGATGGAATTTGCTGAAACAATGTAGCTAGAATACAAAAAGGGAGGTGTGAGGAGGTCAATGAAACAAGCAAATGAAAGGTAAAGATATGCAAAAAGGGATTGGTGTTTTCTTTTTTTCTTTTTTTCCTTTTTTTGTTGTGCTGATGTATTGGTTTTTTATGTATTTTTTCTTTTTTTCTTTTTTATATATTATGGTGTTGGTTTTTCTTGTTTTTTTCTTCTTTCTTTTTGTAATCTTGAAACTTTTAATAAATATTATTTCAAAAAAAAACAAAATTAATCTTTTTATTTCAAATGATTCCAATACTGGGCGAAGCAGGTTGTCTCAAGATATGGCAAAGAGAAATTTCCAAATTCCTGTGGGAAGGGAAGAAACCTAGGATTAAACACCTGATCTTAATAGACATAAAAGAGAGAGGAGGCTTTTCCCTACCCGACCTAAAACTTTACTACGAGGCAGCCTGTTTCACTTGGCTAAAAGATTGGTGTACGTTGCAGGATCCAGACCTCCTGGACCTGGAAGGTTTTGACAACCGTTGGGGATGGCACGCCTACCTAATATATGGAAAAGCGAAAATTCATAAAAAATTTACCAACCATATAATAAGAAAGTCACTCTTTGCTGTATGGGAAAAATATAAAGACCTGATGGAGCCTAAAGTCCCGTGGTGGACTTCTCCAGTAGAAGCCATAGAGATAAACCAGAAAAATACTCAGGAAAGCTGGCCAACATATAAAATACTTCTAAAAAACGAAGATAACCAAATAAAATTTAAAAACTTTGAGGAAATAAGAGAACACATTTCAGACTGGTTCCAATACCATCAGTTATTTGAAAAATTTAGATCTGACAAACAAAAGGGGTTCTCAACAGAAATTTCCCGATTCGATTCTGATCTTGTAGATTCTAAAAGAAAAACTCTTTCCAAAACTTACCGACTCCTCCTTGACTGGACAGTCAAGGAGGAGGAGGTAATAGTGGCAATGGTGAGGTGGTCCCAGGATTTTGGCCATTCAATAACCATGGCCCAATGGGGAAATTTATGGAAGATCAATTGGAAATTCACAAATTGTTACACGATTAGAGAGAACTTTCAAAAAGTGCAACATCGATGGTATCCAACACCATGGAATCTTTCAAAAATGTATAAAAATGTATCAAGTAATTGTTGGAGATGCGGAGACTCAGGAACATTCTACCATATGTGGTGGATATGTAGGAAAATACAGGTATTCTGGGAGAGTATACATGCAGAACTGCAAAAAATGCTAAAGATCTCTTTCAATAAAAAAACAGAGGTCTACCTCCTGGGAATAACTGATTTGGATATTCCACAAAAGAGGAAGGGTATCTTTTTATAGGCGACGACGGCAGCAAGAGTTTTGATCGCAGCAAAATGGAAGAGTAATGAAATCCCCTCTATATAAAATTGGATCCAAAAGCTGACAGAATATGCCGAATTAGATGGTTTATCAGAAAAAATAAAGAATAAATCAAAACAGGAATTTGTTTCTAAATGGGAGGTTTTCAAAGAATATCTGAAAAATAAATATAGTAGTTTAAATTCTGTTGCAGCATTTAAGGAACTTCAGTAATAGTTGCAAGGTAGATGTAAGAAATTAGATTTATTGAGAATAAGTTTAATTATGAAAAAATGTGTATTGGCAATAATTAATATGAATTTGAAATATGGAATAGACGGGAGGTTGGGTCTTTAGTGTTAAGACCAATAGATGTTTTATTGTTTGCTAAGAAAATTATGTGTTTATGGTTATTTTTGTAATTTGTGTGTAATTTGATATTTGTGTTGTTTTTTGTTGTTTTTTCTTGTTGTATAAATAAAAAAGTTTATTTAAAAAAATATTCAAATCAACCATATGTACAATTCTATATATATTAAACTCCACACTCCATAATATTTTAACATTTAATCACCCCATATTGTTCAAACCACCCAAATAATTCAACATCTTCTCAAACCAGTCCTCCTCTTTCTCGCTGACCAATATCTTCACACGTATCTTCACAGTAGGTATTCTAAAATGATAATATTATTCAATTTTTCCCTTCATTTGTTCACCCCTAGCTCTTCTCCATTTTTCCAATTATTCGCTATAACCTGTCTAGCTGCAATTACCACCAATTTTACCCATTTACATTCCTCTTTTGTTTTTAACCCGGTGCTACCCAGGCTAATAAGAACCATTAATTTAGATATCTCCACACTTCCACCCACAATTCCCAATATTTCTATACCAATCTGTTTCCAAAACTTCTTAACTAATGGATAATCCCACCACATATGACTGTATGTTCCCATCACTCCACATTTCCTCCAGCAATTCTTGCTTCCACATTTTGTGATAGGATATAACCTTACTGGTGTGTAATACCATTTTTGTACCAGCTTCAACCGCTGTTCCTGAATTATCCTAGAGGTCGCAACAAAGAGTGATTGCTGAAAAATTCTTTCCCAATCTTCATCTAAAATCTGTTCCTGGATATCTAACCTCCAATATTCTTTCAAACTTTCCTCTGGTGATTTCCCTATATTTAATAACATGTTATACAATTTTGGCCCTATCTAACCTATATTCTTTCACTAATTCTTTGAAGGGTGTAATAATTCTTTTACCACATCCTTTAACTTCTTCTTACTTCAACAGGGAGGAAAGTTGCTTTTTCTGTAACCAATTAATTTTGTTCCAAATTCCACTTTCCTCTTCCATTGTACCTTCTAATTTCCCAACTTTTCTCCATATCCTGAATTGAGATCTCCTTTAATTTATCCCCTACCTCTTTTGGGATGAGCTCCCGTAACGGGCCCATTTTATCATAATACCACATTTGGGTAAGGGGAGAAAGGTCAGGAAAAAGCTTCCTTCTCCACTTCTCCCATACCCAAATGGACCCCGTAAATGTTGATATTTTTTCTACTTCCTTTTTCCTTTTCCTCCTATCGAATATTCTTATTTTCCCTCCAACCAAATCATAAGATGTCTCAATTGGCAAGCTTCATAATATAAAACCAAATTGGGAATCCCCCATCCTCCATCTTGGGTTCTATGATACCTATATCTGCTGGCCGGTCTTGGTTTCTTGGATGCAAAAACAAACCTATCGATTTTCCCTTGCAACCCCTTCAAAATCCGTTCTGGTATGTGCCAGGGTAATACATACAAAAGATAGGTTAATCTGGGTAACAAAAGCATTTAACTAATGCAATTCTTGTACTAATTGATTCCTTCCTTTTCTCCCATATTCTCAAATTCGACTGAATACCGCTCTAAATTTCTTTATAATTATATTCAAATATTTTCTTCACATTTTGAGATATCCTTACTCCTAAATACTTTACTATTTTATTTGCTATAGGAATACAGTGGTACCTCGGGTTAAGTACTTCATTCGTTCCGGAGGTCCGTTCTTAACCTGAAACTGTTCTTAACCTGAAGCACCACTTTAGCTAATGGGGCCTCCTGCTGCTGCTGCGCTGCCGGAGCACAATTTCTGTTCTCATCCTGAAGCAAAGTTCTTAACCTGAGGTACTATTTCTGGGTTAGTGGAGTCTGTAACCTGAAGCGTATGTAACCTGAAGTGTATTTAACCCGAGGTACCACTGTGCCCAATAATTCAGAGGCTTCTAATTGAGTTTTATGTTCCACATTAAACACATCATTGGTGATTTAGAAAAATTAACTTTTAACCCTGATACTTTTGAAAATCCTTGCAAAATTCTTTTTAATGGCCCCATTGGGGTCTCTAGGTCCTTGACCGTCATCATCATATCATCTGCATACATTGTCATTAACTCCCCCTCTGCTCTCCTTTCCCCCGGGATTTCAAATCCTTTAATCTCATTATTCTTTTTGAGTTTAATTGCTAATGGTTCCAATGCTAAGATAATGAGCATGGGAGAAAGTGGACACCCTTGCTTTGTACCACTTAGCACCTGGGCGTACCCCCAGGGTACTCCGTATATATTGCTTCTATCACATTTTGAAATTTCACTCCAAATTTATATTTCTGCAGTATCTTTTTCAAATTATTCCAATCCACCGAATCAAATGCTTTATATATATCCAATGACATGAGAGTAAGAGGCAGGTCCTCATTTTTCGCTAAATACACCATACCCATCACCTTTCTAACTGCCTCCACCAAATACGTCTGAGGCATAAACCCAAATTGCTCTTTCCCCACCAATTGTACAATATAGTTTCTATAATACATATTTGTAATCGATATTGGCCTATAAGAGTCCGGCAGAGTTTGATCTTTCCCTGGTTTGGGAATTAATACCAACCTTGGCTCCAACCAGAAGGTGGAGTTGAAGCTCCATTCAAAATTCCTTGGTACAGTACAGTCATAGGTGGCACCAATATATCCTTAAAATGCTTATAATACACCACACTGTACCCATCCAATCCTGGTGCCGATTGCACATTCATAGAGTCGATTGCTAATCTAACTTCCTCCTCTGTTATATCCTTATCCAATTCCCTTCTATTTTCTCCTTGTAATTCTGGGAGCTCCAATCCTTCACAAAATTGATCCACCTCTTCGTCCTTAATTCCTTTATTTACATACAATCGATTATAAAATCCTAAAAAGGTCTCCAATATATTATTAGGGTCTGTTTCCAATCCCCCTTTATCATCTCTAATAGCTATAATATTTTTCCTTTCCTGATAATTCCTAATTTTATTTGCTAATATTTTCCCTCCTTTCCCTTCAAATTCATAATATTTGTGTCTACTATACCATAACTTTAAAGTGGTTCTATTTATATCCAAAACTTTCAACTCTTCTCTCTTTTGATCTATTTTTTTCCTATCCTTCTTTTGCTTAGACATCCTAAATTTCTCCTCCAATAACCTAACTACTTCTTCTACCTCCTTAATCCTTCTATCTTTCCCTTTTTTTTAACATTGACAAACTCCGAATGCATTCTCCCCAAATGACTGCCTTCACTGCTTCCCATTTTGTTGCTAATGGGATTTCTGGGTCTAGAGTCTCCTCAAAATACCTTTCTACCGCAATTTATATTTTAACTTACTCTGCTCATCAGCTACCAACCAAGGGTAAGACCTATTAATGTGACCTATTTGAAGGAAGGGACGCAGGTGGCGCTGTGGGTAAAAGCCTCAGCGACTAGGGCTTGCCGATCGAAAGGTCGGCGGTTCGAATCCCTGCGGCGGGGTGCGCTCCCGTCGTTCGGTCCCAGCACCTGCCAACCTAGCAGTTCAAAAGCACCCCCAGGTGCAAGTAGATAAATAGGGACCGCTTACAAGCGGGAAGGTAAACGGCGTTTCCGTGTGCGGCTCTGGCTCGCCAGAGCAGCGATGTCACGCTGGCCACGTGACCCGGAAGTGTCTCCGGACAGCGCTGGCCCCCGGCCTATAGAGTGAGATGGGCGCACAACCCTAGAGTCTGGCAAGACTGGCCCGTACGGGCAGGGGTACCTTTACCTTTATTTGAAGGAAAGCAGATATGGGGGCATGGTCAGTGATCTTAATCATTCCAATATCCATTCCCTTCACCCATTTCCTAGCCTCTTGTGATATTAAAATACCATCCAGTCTTCAGAATGTTCCATGTGGGCTAGCATAAAATGAATATGACTAATCCTTGGGGAAAAACTCCATCCATGGTTCCAATAATCCAAACCTCCCACATAACTTTTTAAACTTCATACCCTTTTCCTTTTTGGAACTATTTCCCCCTTGTAGATTAACATTAAAGTCCCCGCCCCCAACCACTTTTGTATAAGGCGAGAATTTCTCAAGCTTCTGTAAACACCTATAGAGAAAATCCAGCTGGTGCTTCTTAGGGGGATAAATGGACGCCAATGCCACAGGCTCACCCTCCAAGCAACCTTGAACAAAAGCAAACCTTCCATTCTTATCTCTTAACACCTTATTCTTCACAAAGTCAACATTGGATTTAATTACTATTCCCACCCCTCTACTTTTCAAAGTTCCAGAAGCCATACATTTTTTCCCTTTTACAAAGCCAGGGAAATTAACCTCCCTCTTCCCACCCCCCACTATATGTTTCTTGCAAAAAACCATCATCATCAAATCTACTTCCCAATCCTCACTCGCTTCACCTGACTAACCAAACCTCTAACATTAAGAGCTGTACACACAATATTCACATTCTTTAGCACGTCTTGCCCAACCATCTCACTTCTCCTTTTCCCTCCTTGTGTACCATACCCGCCTGGAGGTAAAGCCAACCCCAACCACCATCCCAACTAACCCTACTGTGAGCCCTACCCTTTCACCCCCACAAAAAAGTCCAGGAAAAAGAAACAAGAGAATAACTGTGTGCCGCCAAACTGTGTTCATGCGCAAAACTTAGGTTCATAAGGAAAGAAGTATTGTGGTCCTGAGCCATTTAAGGCTTTATAGGTCAAAATTTGCACTTTGAATTGGACCCAGTAACTAACTGCCAGCCATTACAGTCAGACTAGGATGGGGGTAATATCCTCAAACCACCTTGCTCCACTGAGCAACCTGGCCAGTAAATTCTGCACTCGCTGAATTTTCCAAATTGTCCTCAGAGCCAGCCCTACGTATAACGCATATCTATCTCTAACCTTGAAGTTACCAGAGCATAGACAACGGTAGATAGGCTATCCCTGTACAGATAGGAGCATAGCTGGGCTACCAGTCAAAGCTGATGGAAGGCACTCCAGGCCTTCTGAGCCTCAAGTGACAGCAAAGGATCCAGGAGAACCCCCAAGCGACGAACCTGCTCCTCCAGAGGAAGTGTAACCCCATCAAGAGCAGGCGACCTCCCAGCCATCTGCTCTAGGGAACCACCCACTAACTGAGCCTTATCTGGAGTGAGCTTCAATTTGTTGGCTCTCATCCAGTCCATTACCCAGGCAAGACACTGGTCCAGCACTTCCACTGCCTCCTCTTCAGATAGAAAGGAGAAATAGAGCTGAGTGTCATCAGCATACTGCTGGCAACGTACTCCAAACCTCTGGATAACCCCTTCCAGAGATTTCATGTAGATGGTTAAAGAACAAGGGGGATTGGATTGGGCCCTGCAGAAACCCCACATTGAAGCTTCCATGGGGCTGAAATGCATTCCCCAAGTAACACCCTTTGGAAACGACCATCCAAGTAGGACTGGAACCACCGCAAAGCAGGGCCACCCACCCCCAGTTCAGAGAGTCGCTCCAGAAAGATACCATGATGGATGGTATTGATAGCCGCTGAGAGTTGGAGAACAATGAACAGGGACACATTTCCCTTTTCTCTCTCTCGACAGAGGTCATCATAGAGGGCCACCAAAGCAGTTTCCGTGCCAAAACCAGGCCTAAACCCTGATTGAAATGGATCCAGAAAATCAGTTTCTTCCAAAAGCACCTGGATCTGGTCTGCGACTACTCGCTCCAGAACTTTGCCCAGGAAAGGGAGATTAGCAACTGGCCGGTAGTTAGTTAGGCTTTGTGAATTCAGAGAAGGTTTCTTAAGGAGTGGTTTTACCTCTGCCTCCTTCAAACATGCAGGGACCACCACCCCCTCTTGTAAAGAGGCACTGATCATCTCCCTGGTCCTGCCAGCTATTCCCTCCCTGCTGGTAAGAGGGTCTAAGAGCCAAGAGTCTAGAGTGCAAATGGTCGCCCTGACTGATCCAAGCACCTTGTCCATATCCTTGAGCCTGACCAACTGAAAAAACTCATCCAACACAACAGGACTAGACTGTGCTCTGGACAACCCATGAATCATAGAATCATAGAATCATAGAGTTGGAAGAGACCACAAGGGCCATCGAGTCCAACCCCCTGCCAAGCAGGAAACACCATCAGAGCACTCCTGACATATGGTTGTCAAGCCTCTGCTTAAAGACCTCCAAAGTAGGAGACTCCACCACACTCCTTGGCAGCAAATTCCACTGTCAAACAGCTCTTACTGTCAGGAAGTTCTTCCTAATGTTTAGGTGGAATCTTCTTTCTTGTAGTTTGGATCCATTGCTCCGTGTCCGCTTCTCTGGAGCAGCAGAAAACAGCCTTTCTCCCTCCTCTATGTGACATCCTTTTGTATATTTGAACATGGCTATCATATCACCCCTTAACCTCCTCTTCTCCAGGCTAAACATGCCCAGCTTCCTTAGCCGTTCCTCATAAGGCATCGTTTCCAGACCTTTGATCATTTTGGTTGCCCTCCTCTGGACACGTTCCAGTTTGTCAGTGTCCTTCTTGAATTGTGGTGCCCAGAACTGGACACAGTACTCCAGGTGAGGTCTGACCAGAGCAGAATACAGTGGCACTATTACTTCCCTTGATCTAGATGCTATACTCCTATTGATGCAGCCCAGAATTGCATTGGCTTTTTTAGCTGCCGCGTCACACTGTTGGCTCATGTCAAGTTTGTGGTCAACCAAGACTCCTAGATCCTTTTCACATGTACTGCTCTCAAGCCAGGTGTCCCGCATTTTGTATTTGTGCCTCTCATTTTTTTTGCCCAAGTGCAATACTTTACATTTCTCCCTGTTAAAATTCATCTTGTTTGTTTTTGCCCAGTTCTCTAAACTGTCAAGGTCGTTTTGAAGTGTGATCCTGTCCTCTGGGGTGTTAGCCACCCCTCCCAGTTTGGTGTCATCTGCAAATTTGATCAGGATGCCCTTGAGTCCATCATCCAAGTCGTTGATAAAGATGTTGAATAAGACCGGGCCCAAGACAGAACCCTGTGGCACCCCACTAGTCACTCTTCTCCAGGATGAAGAGGAACCATTGATGAGCACCCTTTGGGTTCTGTCAGTCAGCCAGTTACAAATCCACTGAGTGGTAGCATAGTCAAGACCGCATTTTACCAGCTTCTTTACAAGAATATCATGGGGCACCTTGTCAAATGCCTTGCTGAAATCAAGGTAGGCTACATCCACTGCGTTCCCTTCATCTACCAGGCTTGTAATTCTGTCAAAAAACGAGATCAGGTTAGTCTGACATGACTTATTTTTCAGAAATCCATGCTGACTATTGGTGATCACAGCATTCCTTTCTAGGTGCTCACAGACTGTTTGCTTAATGATCTGCTCCAGAATCTTCCCTGGTATTGATGTCAGACTGACTGGGCGGTAATTATTTGGGTCCTCTCTTTTCCCCTTTTTGAAAATAGGGACAACATTTGCCCTCCTCCAATCTGCCGGGACTTCGCCTGTTCTCCAGGAATTATCAAAGATGACTGCCAGTGGTTCTGAGATCACATCTGCCAGTTCTTTTAATACTCTTGGATGCAGTTCATCTGGCCCTGGAGACTTGAATACATCTAAACTAGCCAAGTATTCTTGTACTATCTCCTTAGTTATTCTGGGCTGTGTTTCCTTTGCTGAATCGTTTGCTCCAAATTCTTCAGGTTGGGCATTGTTTTCTTTATCGGAGAAGACTGAGGCAAAGAAGGCATTGAGGAGTTCAGCCCTTTCTGTGTCCCCTGTTTGCATTTCACCATCTTCTCCTCTGAGTGACCCCACTGTTTCTTTGTTCTTCCTTTTGCTACGGACATACCCATAAAAGCCTTTTTTGTTGCTTTTAACCTCTCTAGCAAGCCTGAGTTCATTCTGTGCTTTAGCTTTCCTGACTTTGTGTCTACACGTGCTGGCTATTTGTTTGAATTCCTCTTTGGTGGTTTCCCCCCTTTTCCATTTTTTGTACACATCCTTTTTTAATCTTAACTCAGTTAAAAGTTCTTTAGATAGCCACCCTGGCTTCTTTAGGCACCTTCCATGTTTCCGTCTCATTGGTATTGCCTGACGTTGTGCTTTTACTATCTCCCTCTTAACAAACTCCCAGCCATCATGAACTCCCTTTCCTTTTAGTATTACTGTCCATGGGATTTCACCCAGCACTTCCCTAAGTTTTATGAAGTCGGCTTTCTTAAAGTCAAGAAATTGAGTCCTAGTATGCTTGGCTGCTCCTTTCCGCTGTATAGTAAACTTCAGAAGAGCATGATCACTCGTGCCTAATGATCCTTCCACTTCTACCCCACTAACCAGGTCATCAACATTGGTTAGGACCAGATCTAAAATGGCTGTTCCTCTTGTTGCTTCTCCCACTTTCTGGACAATGAAGTTGTCTGCAAGGCCAGTGAGGAATCTGTTTGACCTTATGCTCTTGGCTGAGTTT